CGGCGCGGCCCCTCTTCCCGGCTGGAGCGACAAACGCTGCGTTTCCTTGAGTTACAGGCGTTTTTGGCCACCGGATCACCGAAAGCCACACGCGACCGGGCGGCCGCTACCCTCAAAGCGCCCGGCACGCCGGCGCTTCTACTCCTGCCGTAGCGCCCCTCCGCCCCCAGGAAAGGTGTCTCCACCTCAGAGGCAAAGGCAACAAAACACCCTGCATTTTTAACTGCGAATTCTTTCAGCAGTGAGATGGACCAAGAAGGTTTGAACGAACCAAGACACGCACGAGGACCCGGCCACCTGCCCATCTCGGGAAGATGACGACAAATCTGTTCGCACAGCGCTTCCTGGCTAGACCGGGTCAGAGAGCTTTAACGTTGCAGCCCGTTATCTAGCACAGGCACCTGGTGGGTATGGGATAGCCACCGCAAACTAAGCCATTACGATGCCAATATCCAAACCCTTTGCAACCTTATTTGACAAGAATCATTTTAACGAGTTTGCAAAATCTGCAAGAACACGGCGTTAAAAACGTTCTCATTCTAGCACGACCTCATAGCTGCATTTTTTGCTTGTTTTTTTGTTGTTTTTGTTTTTGTTTTTAAAGAAAACAATCAGAGACCTTCAATGCAAAGCTGAAATTGTGGCTTTAAGAGGTCTTATTTAAAACCCATTGAAGCTGTTAGGCTACAAGGGGTCCTAAAGGCCAAGGATATAGGGACTTAGAAGCAGAGGTGAAGCTCAGTCAGTCCCGAAACATAATTTCTTCTAAATTACTAAACTAAACATAAGTTGAGCACGTTTAATTTCAGAACAAGAAACGTTCAAATTCAAGATTAAGGTTCTCTCTTCTCTTCACAAACATACAACATGTTAAATCTGTTTTTTACTTACACTTGCATATGTTTCTGCACTAGGGAAAACATTTTCTTTGTTCTTTAATAGGCTACTTCAATTTTACTGCAAGTTATCTTAAGGCACTGGATTTACTTACATGCAAAAACAGCGATGGCTTGTGAAGAAACAATGATTAACTGGTAACACCTGTGTGCTTCATAGACTTAAGTATTGATCAAGCTGGTTTTAATGGTGTTTGACCAATGCACAATAGCTGTCTACAGCACTGAGCTTATTAGACTGTTCAGATACTACAGGTAGGTAATCAGCCTTTACTAGTTGACCAAAAACCAGCTACATGTTCGGAAAAAGTACAGGGCTCTTCTACATTTTCTTCAAATTGAGCAATAAATTATCTGATCACAGCTTGTTGCCTTGTTATTAAAGGCACTTTCTAGTCTACGATGGGATTAGGCAGTCAGCAGTACTTTGACTTTTTAAAGAACTGATGTCATTTGTATTACAATTAAGATCAATCCACTCACATGATACTTTCAAACCACAAACATACTCAAGTCTACAAAAGTCGCAGCCATAAACAGTTGAGGTACAGTAAAGCACAATCTATCACTAAATAGAATCAAGCTATCCAGTCTCTTAAATACTGGTCAGCAGACATGAATGAATGTTGGAATATTAAATACTTAACTACTCCTTACCAAAAACATTATCTTGTGATAACAAGCAAAATTGCTTTACCCACTTGATTTTCTTCCCTAATTTAAATTAATTCCACACTATTTTTCACTAAATTCCTATGTTGCACATGCAGGAGTAGTATACTGCTACTTTGAGGTTTCATGCACCTTCTGGATAAGAACATTGAACTTACTATCAAGCATTTTCGGTTCTCCAATACTTAGTTTTACATTAAAATAAAATCAAAAGCATTGAATAATAAAATTCACTGTTCAGGAAGCTCTGCAAACTAAGAACTGGAGCTGCATCTCTACATGATTTGTCTCTTCAGTTTTACTACTGGGTTTGGCTGCACCCAGCGTCCTACTACTGGAGATCTGGTAGGCTTTTCATATAATATAGAAGTCAGCTTAAGATGCAAACAAAATTTAGTTTTGTTATTTGCTACATAAACCTGAACAACATAGCAACTGTTTTCACTGCTGTAAACTATATGTTAAGAACTGCATAGTTTTCAGAGATTTGCTTTCTGAATATATTGAATAGATATTTGTGCAGTTGACTTTCATTAATTGCCCTCATAAGGGCCAAGAGATGCTAAAGCAAAATATACAGTTCTACAACCTTATGAATGAAATAAGTGCATTCCTCCTTTGAAGTAGCAGGAGTTTTAGAAAGAATTCAAGTTACTCCAATAAGTCATCTTCTGTTTAAAACAAAAACAGGAAACCCCAAACCTATCTTCCAGTTAGCCATGCAAAGGAAGTGTACCAACTCCGACAATTACCCATTTGTGCAGGTAGCATAAACTAGTTACCATTCTTTGAAGGCCCCAGGTAGCCTCTTATCCAGAGACTTCAGTTCCATTCACTAACCCATGTTCTACTTAGCTTTTCATGCCAACTGTACAGCAAGTATGGTGTTCAGGATATCTAGTCCTTACATTGTTTTCTCCTTCAGTAAAATATGGAGTGGTTGGCTCCAAATCCTATGTTCCAAAACCAAGAATGGCAAAATAAGACTTGGATGAAAAGGGAGGGGGTGACAGGCAGGGAGAAACCTTGACTTTCAAATAAGGATTTTAAATATCTCTGAAACATGGGCACACGCCCTCAGTGCCCCCCTCAGCTGGCTGGTTCAGGACAGAAATGGATATATAATACAGAAACAACTGTGTTCCTCTAAGCCACTACTCCTGTAAACTCCAGGAAAACTGAAGCTTACGTGAGACCAGGCTAACAGTGGATCTTTATTCTTTCTACTGAATTAGGTAGTTTAACATCACCCTGTAAGACACCTGTGGCAGAACGCAAGTGAGGCAGAAACCACTTCAACCATTAGTAATAACAATGCCTTACTTTGAGGCACTTCATACGCAGCATGCACCAGACTACCTCATTTCTCTCTTCTCACACATGCACCTACCATGTGAAAACTTGATGGAACATTCACATTGTAGAAGTTAAATCCTAAAGATACTGATACTGAAGAATATTTTCAAGTTACCTAAGAGTTCAAATATGAGACTCTCTGCAGCATCTGTTGCTTAAACATTTCTGTAAGAAGAATGCAAACTGAAGCAGGTTACAATGAAAAGTGAAACCAGCCAGTTTAGTTTCATTTCAGTCCAAAGTGCAAAAATAAATAATGTTTTCCTTACAAGGTGCTATTAGTAGTAGTAGTAGTAGTAAAGTCTTAGAGTAGTACCGTTTCACTTAGACACTCCTTAGAGAACAGGCTAGCAAAGCTTTCTACTTAAGGAAATTCTAAGGAGGACCCTGTAGTACAGTTACCTCTGCTAAATCATAGCCAGGCTCTGACCTCAGAAATTTGCAGAAAATACTTCTATTATAGCGGATTACAGCATAGCATACTTTTCACTCTCTAAGACTGCAGCTATGTGAGGATCATAGTGCATCCAGATATTGCTGGTTAAATTTTTGGTTTTGTCGAGTTCCGTCTGTACGTAGCTTTTGGCTATTTAAAATCTAATTTGTCCTCATGCTTTTGATTGCACTGTTTTGCTCATTCTTGAGATGTCCTTTAGATGTAGCAGCAGTTTTACAGTCATTGCTAGGTGCTTTTTCACTATGAGTGTCTGAAAGGTTCAGTCATTTTCTGAAGTCTCTGAACAACAACAGCGTTTTGCAGCTTTGCTTCCTCTAGTGTGAGTGTCTCATCCCGCAGCTCTTGAAATGGCAGAGAAGTAGTCAGTGTAAAGGGAACCCTTCCCTCTGATCCTTGATATTTTGTTATGAAGTCTCTGACATGGCTTATTCTGAGAAGAGAAAAAGAAAATTTGGCATTAAAGAGCTCAAATCCCAACACACAATACACAGAGCTACCTCAAAAACAGATACCCGCTTCACACAGCAGCTGATGGCCCAGGAGAGACATGGAGGAATACTGAAGGGCTATCCTGAAGTGCCTGGACCACTTGAGACGGAGGGACAAGGTTCACATGTTCTTAGGGCAATCCCAAGGGGAAAAGATGAGTGCATTTTGCTCCAGGCACCCAGATGTTTCACTACGGCTCACACAGTAATACAAGTCCCCATTTCTTAATAGCTGGCAGAGCTTAGAGGTCTCTATAACCATGAGCTAGAATAAGCAAGCCTCTAGAGTGCAGTGTATGCAGCAGTACCAGAGTAAAGGTTTACAGGAATTGCCCAAATATTAACTAAGTTTAAACATAGTCTCCTTCTACCGAAGCAGGAGCAGCAGTGAATTCATTAGAGATTCAAGCTGGGTATTAAGGGATAAAGAACCTTGAGACAATGAACAGGTCAGGTTTTGTACTAACAAGGAAGGGTCAGGACTGACCAATTTGATTAGAAAATGAAGATGACAGGATGCATCATCTGTCCTGGTAAACGATGCCCATTCTCTGGTCCCGAGGCCAACTGGCAGAGTCTGGCCACAGGCAATTTATTAAATTCATCTTTCCTCTTCCCCGTGAATCAGGTAGGTTTACCGCCTACGAGGCATGCTCCGTGACCCGGGCTAATTCCTGAACTGAGTTTGCTTATTGTTTGTGAAAATGATAGATGGCCTGTGTGAAAGCTATTCTACCAGTTTAGCTGCACAGACGACTGAGCTTCTATGCCTTGACACACTTTGTAGGACAGATACAGCCAGCATCTAATTTCTGTGCATACGGGCCTCAATTAAGAAACAGTATTTGGGCTTATTAGCCTACTGCCTGAAATAATTGGAGCAGGTTTCGATTTTTGGTTAGACGCTTATGCTTACAGGTGGCTTCCTGCAGATGTCAAAGCTCACTGAGTCCTAAGAGAAATTCAGGTGATTAGCCTCCAGATATCGACTTCAGAATGAGCAAGCCCCTTTCTTCGATTCCATATCCCACAATCCAAACTCACAGTAACTTAGCAAGCGCTCACGAAGGGACACAACTGGATTTCAGACCTAGCTGTATGTGGGCTATCCCTACAAAATTGCTCTGCTAGTAGCTTCACTCTGGCAGTCTCCTCAATTCTCCATACTGCAGTATTGCAATGCTACTTACACTTTTGCTCTTGTGCTTTCATCAGTATTAAATTCATCCAAAGTATGAATTTACTGCAGAATATACACATTCCACCTATGAAAGGGTAGGAGTAATCATTTTGCCCTTTGCCCAGCCACTGCAATATATATACTACAGGCTATAGCTCGTTTAACAAATAATTGACTGTTTTCTACTCCTGCCACTGAAGGGAGTATATTACTGCCATACTTGCAATCATAATACTTACGGTTGTATACCCTACAAGGATTTTCCCCTATTTCTTATTAGGCCATAGGCACATGCTACATACAGCCTAAAAACATGATGGTCTTGTTGCAAGAATGGATGTTATCATGGAATATTCATTGTAAACTTTAGAGAAAAAGAGCATTACATCAGGAAGGCTCCTGCTTATGTCAGACTTGTTTTCTCCAAGAGCACTTAGCAGCTGTACCTACTACTCTATTTAACATGAAGACGAAAAGCAAACCTGGAATAATGAAGGTACTAAGGCCTCCACCAATGGATTTATAATCAAAATAGCAACTGACCCTTCAGCAGTATATCACAACAGTGTTTCAGTTCATACCTCAGGCTTCTAGAGATAACAGTAACAAATTAGTTTGTAACTTTTTTTTCCCCTTTAGTACTATTTTGTTACTGTTATCTCTCTGACCAGACAAAGCCATACCCTGTTTATCCTAACAGCAGCCAAGGGGGCCTTAAACCTACGATCACTTTAAATTGCCTCAGAGAGCAGCACAGGCAACATGTCATTTCCATATTATGTGACTGTGCAGTATTGGAGCAGCAAATTACAAATTTGAGAAAGGTCCTTAAAAACAGTAGTTCTACAATTTAAACAGTTAATCCCACCTTCTCAGAGTTCTGGCATACATATGCTATGCTGACACTTTCTCACTTTATCCCCACTTGTAAGCCTCTTCGGGGAATTTGAGGTTTTAATCATGAGAATTAAATATACTGGACACATTCTATTCTGTCCATGCTGACAGGACTGACATGCAGGTGAATAACCTCCCCTGCTTAATGCACTGACTCTGTCCTTCCTTGGAGGTTCCTCTGGCTCACATCTAAGTCACATCCTCCAGCTCCCTTTGCATGCTGGAAGGGATACAGGTGGATTTGTTAAAACTCAACATGTGGTGCAGTCTACACTCAATGACTAGCAGAGTTTTTTTTTTTTTTTAAAGTGATTTGCTCCAGATGTAGTCATTTTGTGATATATTTGTCATCCTGAAAGCTATGTAACAATTCTGCTGAACTGCTTCCTCCACTAAGGAGCAATATACATACCTGAACTTGCAATAAACTACAAGGAAGTCCTAGAATTTCCTAGGCAGATTTTTAATTACAGTTACTCACTAACTAGTAATGTCACTCCACGTTTCTCTTAAACTTCCCTCTTGTCAACTAAAAATTGATCAGTTTCTCAAAAAATTTGAGAGAATGTATTCCAGATACAGCTGAACAGCTATCTGATGTTAAGTGAACTGGTGTGTGTGTGTGTGTGTGTGTGTGTGTGTGCGCGCGCACACGTGTGTGTGCGTGACATAATTATTACTCCCAGAATTTAGAGACCTATTGTTCATACACTCATAGGATAAATAGTTCTGCTACAAACACATAGGACAGTGCTAAAATAAACCTTACCTGTGAGAAACATTGAATTTCTGAACTATCCTATTCCCATCAGCTAACCAGATCTGGATGCTAGTGATAGGCTCCAAATCATTCAAGGGTACTAAAGGAAGAGGTCTTTCGTTGTCAGCTTCTTGATGATCACCTCTTACTTTAGAAATTATCCTTGGAGTAGCACTGAAAAGAAAAGCCATACAAGGTTATGCATTCTGAGGTCACCTGCAAGCTTGAACCTCCATTCACACCTCTGCTTCTGGAGGTTTCTACCCTGAGTCAGGGTGCATTGATGACTATTTTTTTGGGTTGTTTAAAGTAGAGAAATATTGAATACAGATGCTGGATTTTTTTTTACATGTCAGTATCTTCTCCTGAAGACTACAACACGCTAAAAAGTTTCAGTCTGTTCATGGAAAATATTTTTACAAGGTAGAAGGGAGAAATACCCAAGGATTAAATCAAAACACACAAGAGAAGTGAAAGGATTTTAAGATTCTTCATTAATCTTTTGCACTCTAATCACACAGGTGAAACTTTCAGGTGTGTGAGTATCAAATTTGCATACTCAATGTTAATTTTCACTGTAACTGATTAGAGTAATTCAATTGAAGTGAATGTTGTTAGCCTTGATTTAGACCCCAGCATCACCTGTTTCAGTTTAGAGCCATTATTTATCTGTCAGAGGAATTGACTTAACGTGAAAACGCAGGCTGATGCACGCAGCACTTGGATTTTGGTTTGCAAGGCACTTTTGACAGCTGAGCCTCCCATAAGGTCCACAAAAGGACTTGATAGAACACAGAGACCTCAGTCCAAGTGCATGGTCTTAAGGAAAAGAAAAAAAAAACACCTAGAGATTTTTACTGGTGAAAATTTTGATTCTTAAGAGATGTCTAACGCTTAGCACTTCAGGGCTAAGCTTGTTTGGCATGTACTGTTGAAGTCATCAATAAGGCCTGATCCAACAGGCTTATCCTCAGCTTATGTAAGTGTAACCAGATGTTTGCTTGCAAAATAGCAGCAGCATTTTAAGCAGTTGTCATTTCTTCTCTCAGCTCAGCCATGGTCACTGACTACATGAGTGCTTCACAGTGGTTTCAGAGAAGGTTTTCTCTTTGCACTGAAAATTATCAGTTACTGTTTCTTGAGTGAGGAGTCAGTAATAAATGACCACGGAATAACAGTTCTTAAAACTATTACATCTGCTTCACAAACAAACCCCAGCATTACATACTTATGCTCCTGTGGGTTTGGAAGTTTAATCATAAAACAGAAAAACCACAGCTACTTTTTCATTAAAAAAAAAAAAACAAACTAATGATTTAGTCTTCATTAAAGACTAACCCTAAGAAAGTTGGACTCTTGGGCTTATGTCCTTCTCAGGCTGAGGTATTTAAAAAAAAAAAAAAGGTATTTCAGAATCATCCACTGTCTAGGTAAGTGCCCTAATTTCTAGCCTGTCAGCCAAGAATAGAGGCACTTTTTACTTCTTCCACTGAAATTGTGCGAAAAGAGTAAAAACCAAGGAATCTCATTCCCAAGCGAGTGATAAGGGATGTTCGCTGGGACTGGAGGCACAAGAGAGGCACAGAATTCACTGCTTTGCATTATAGAGAAATCAGCTGGGAAGCAAGAAGCAGAAACCAACAGATTCCCAGAGTCGCATCTGTAAAACATTCTGGTACTCCAACAATAAGTGACTTCTTATCATCTACCTGCCTCTACTGATCTACTTATATCCATATTTCTTCTTTGTTTCTGTTCTTGCTTAACCTCAGCATTCAATAAAACCTAGTGGTCCTGCAGACCTGGAAAAAAGGTTTGAGGACCAGGAAGATAACGTCAAACACTCTTGAGAGCAGGAAAAAAAAGTCTAAGATATACTTAAGCCTTGATCAGCTGTAGTTGGCCAATTGATCAGTGAGGTTCAGTTCTAGAAGGAGACGTTCAAGTATAAGCATTCATGTGTGAGCTAGTTGTCTCTAGTACAGTAGAGGCTGAAGAGCTAGTCACCTGTGCAGCCACCAGGTGTCTGCTTTAGGTTGGGCTGAATTACATTTTAGCCTCATCAGCCACAGTGATGTGGCTGTAGTTTAGACAGCTGTCTCAGCTAGACACAATTTTGGTGCAATTCTCAAACAAATTCTTGTCTTTCATGCTCACATCTCAGGGATTTTTACTAGGTGTCTGATACAATCCTTTTAATAGCAAGCATACGTGAATAAAACTGAAGTCAATAAGTTAAGCTAAGCTGCAAGGAAAAGGTAGAAGAGCTATATTCAGCAAGGTTTAAACTGTTTCTATTCTTAATAGCTTTGCTCTTTTAGAACTGACAGATAAAGCCATCTAGTGGTAGAAGCTTTGACTAAAGCCACAAACCAATGACATAAGTCTCTTATTATCCTGACTTCAAAGTAGCATCATCCCTTTTAAAGATTTGCTTATTCTTTTTACATCTTTTTGATAATCTTGTAAACTAAAGATCGAAGAGACGTGAGAGTCTCTAGTCAATTTTCAGAAAAGAAAAAGCCCAAGAGTACTGTGTCTTACCAAGACTAACGGTTAAGAAGCTTGACACACATCGTTTTACCCTAATGAGGTTATAGAGCAAGCCTACTCTGCTACAAGGGCTTTCAGTCAATATTTTGATTAATGTGCTTCTGAGGTAGACTTTAAAATGTACAGTTAAGCTTAATAGAAAAACATGGCTGTGAAACTTTTTATAGCCACAAACCATTAAATGCAGCTGAGCAGATAAAGCAGAAGAAATATACCCTTTAGTTATACAGGTTCATAAGGTATGTTAAAATAGTCCAATAAGCATCATTTGTTTCCTCTGTGCAACACA